TACAAAGGGTGCGTTTACTTCTGAGCTAATTTTACTATCAGCACGCTCAGCCTGTATACTTTCGTCCGAGTGCCACACTCATTGGCGTTTACTTTAGAGCTATGTGACGTCATGTTTAGCGAAATTGGTAAGCTCTGAGTGCTAGCTAGTTCGTTGTCGAGCTTTGCGCTAATTCAATATGGCTGCTCTCATGAAAAAATTACTTTCTGTACAAAGTACTAAAAATAGAATTAGTTTTCGAAAAATAAACGGCAGAAAGTATTTTTATTGGTAAATTTCAATTATTTGTTGTGTAAAATGTTTATAATGATTTTTTTTCATTGTAAGGTTCAATAGCTTTAGATGACTTTTTTCATAAACAGATGTGAAAAAAATTAAGTTCGACTCATTGCTTATGATTAAAAGTTAGGTTTACCTTATGCGCGTTTGGAATATTCAGAAATGTTCGGAGCATTAAATAAATCGTAAAGAAATGAACATGTACATGTACATTTCATGTACAGTACAGTACACTGTTTATTATATCAGCGCTGGTTACAAACTGGTATGTGAAAACTGATACAAAATATGACTCCACACATATTTTAAAAATTCAAAAAATAAAATTAATTTTTATTATAAACGTAAAAAAAATATCAGATATTTACTACTTCAAGTAGTCTTTGGTTCAGTATTTTTAAATTGTTTCTATTATAAAGTTACTTTAACAACATGTGATTACTTACATTAATAACTTGAAAATTTACACATTAATATAACAAAATATTCCGAATAAAATAAAATCCGTAAATTTTGGCACTATACTAGGAACAGTGAAAACATTGTCCTGTACATTTTCATATAAGATGAATGCATAGTCTTATTCGTTTCCAAATTATAACACTTAATATTAAACATTTCCGCTTGCATCCAAATTTTTTTTACCTTCAATTCTGTTAGCCTACTGTGATGACGTCAAACTTATGTCAATGAAAGTCACTGTAGAATTATATTTCAAAATACATAAAAAATACAAAATCAAATCGTCAAGAGCCAAATCTATACGTAAATGAATATCGCTTTGTACAATTTGTTGTAAAATTTATGCATTTATAGCTCATTAATACAGAATTATATTAAACTATGCAGTTATCTTTTGTTACCATTTACACTTCGGAAAACATTCTTTGTGTAGCGCTCCTTACAATTTTTGCAAACAGTTCGTGAGCGCTTCCTTAAGCTACTACTGCTGCTGCACACACAGCTACGGACTTTCTTTCTTCCTGGAAGTTTCTGATTCTTGAGAGTTGTTTGTAGTCAACTTTATGGCCATCCACTCCTCCGCCAAGCTCTCGATTACGGCCACGTGATACGCGTGTCGAGATTTCACTTTCCCTGGTCCCGCAAAATTCTCTTTGTAAAGCATGTAGCTATTCAACGCCATCCTGGCTATGACGTTAAACGCTAAATTCTTCCAATATTTCATTGGCCTACTTTTATCATCACATGCATATAACACCACATCGGATATATCGACCCCGCTAATAAATTTGTTATGATTTTGAATTATTTCTGGCTTCAATTTAGCCTCTCCATTCCTAATTACTTCTACATCTCGTGCCCATGCGTGGCTGGATAATGTAATGATAGGGTACATTTGTGACTGCTTCTCCTTAAAGCCGCAGGCTAACACGGGACCAGATCGGAAATACGATGTTTCTCCGGCTGCAAATTTCTTCTTGAACTGTTGAGGTAGCATTTTGTGGTCCCCCCGAACAGTTCCGGTAACATAAGTCTGTAGAGAATACAGACGGAGAACAAGGGGCACCGACATAAAACATCGGTCGATAAAAAAATGGTACCCTTTGTTTAGGTAGATATCAATCTCGAGCAGTTTTTGCACAACATTATAGCCTGAACCTAATTCTGAGATGCTGTGATCCTCCTGCTGTGACTCGGTTCGTTGAAAAGGGAAAAATCCCAAGCAGTAGCTAGATACTGAGTCGATCATCATCCAGAATTTGAGACCCATACAGATTGCGTTAATAGATATTTCCTGATGAGGAGTGTAATGGTGTCGAAACACCCTGTTCGCATGATTTAAAAGAGGCTGGAATTTGGCACAGGGATCATAACCCGATTCTCCAAGCCCAGGCAACTTGCTGTCATCGACGAAATGAAAGAAACTTACCAATTGACAAAACCGCTGTTGAGAAAACATTTCCGGAAACCACGATTCGGATTGGATAGGAGAAGTGCACCAGTATCTATGATGATCTGATGATTCTTTGCGACCTAAATTTAAAATACACGCCAAAAATCCTTTCATCTCTGGAACAGAGACTTTGGTCCAGTTCTTCCAATAGGACGGTACGTTATTCCCCATGCCATTTAACACTTCCTGTGCATATCGATTGGTTTCCTCCACCATAAGAGACAGCAAAGTACTGTTGAAAAACAGATAGAAATAAACGATCGGAGGAGAATCGGGAGGAGGCATATGTTTTGGGCCAGATACCTCACGAAAAGGAAAGGGAAAAGGTTGAGGTTCTTCTGGTGAAAAAACTTCCCGGTATTCCTGATCTTCCATTTCGTCATCACTGCCAGAATGTGCAGTCGAAGTGGAGGGAGTGGCCACATCATGTTTAGGCCCATAGTCTTTATCTTTAGAACTACTTAGATCGGAGACATATTCAGAGACATATGTCATCTGATTGAAATCCTCTTCGGAACCATTGATTTCGCTTTCAGACATTCTGTAGAAAAATCCTATTTAGAATAAAAACCGTATTACTATAGAAAATAATACAATACAGTAGATTCTCGATATTCCGACGGATTCAGTGATCCCCGACAGACTGGCACAAATGAAATTTTCTATTCACCTGGTATGTGCGAGATAGAATGAGGTATAGCGCAATACGGGTACGTTATTATTAGTTGTTTGTTGCAAATGCGAAACATTCTAGTGTTTTTTGCTGCATTGGTAATTACAGTGGTGCGTTATTTTATAAGATAAAAAATCTGTTGCTTGGGGTTTCACAAACTGGTCGTCCCTAACAAATCTTTTATTAAAAAATTTTGTATTTATTTCTAAACAATACGCCACCTCTTTCTCTCTTAATTTTATTTACAATCGACACATGCATAACAGACATTTACAAAATACAGAGAATGTTTGAGTGGTCACCCATATAAAAATCTGTAGAAACAGAAACTATTTACGGACTCTCCACCTTCCTGTTATTGCTTAATTTTGCTTTATTTCATTTAAAATATATCTTCCTATTTCAAATTAATGTGTTGCCCCTGTACATCATGCTTTTCTGTAAACAACAGCGTTGAGCCGGTCATCTATCTAACTCCTTTCAGGTGCAATTTTTCGAATTAAAATAACGTCATATAAAGTTAATTTTGTTCCTAGGGGTTTCCATACCGGATCTCATCTTTCATCTAAATACGTTCTCTTGATTAATGAACAGTGGAAATTTATAGGTCTAGAAATTGTTCAATTCACAGTCTTAAAAAAATGATGGGCAAGCACAAAAAAAGTATGAGAAGCGCTGGTTTAACACCTGTTGCATTTATTTTGTAATCAAACATTATATTTCCAAACATAAGTCTTTTTGTAGTATTTGTCGAAAGGTTTTTTCCATAAAATTAATCGATTCTAGTATAATTTGACTCGAATATTTCCAAAACATGTATATCCTTTTCGGGATGATTTATATAAAATATGCTATAAACAAGTGTGCATCGTTCGAACACGCCATTGCTTAACTTTGCTGTTGTCGCGGATATGTACAATGGAAGACAGACGTTACGTGATATTTCACCGTATTCTACTCGGTCATGTGACTACTACTCACTCGCTTGGCATCACTGACTTGTTTTTAAATAACTTATTCTTAAATAAACTAAAAAATCTACTAATGTGAAGTAGATAATAAGGAATTTTCACCATTATTATCTACATCACATCATTAGTTTTCAATTAATTTAATTATACCAAGGTCTAAATGCAATTGTTATATTTTAACTTATTGTTGTCGAGTAAGAATTTCCTTGTCTTTACTGAGATCACGTGATATATCAATGACGCCATATTTTCTATCACGTGATTTATCTTCGCCTCCGAAGATCACCCCGGACTACACATCGACAAACTTTGCATTAGTTACGTTTCCGGTAATACCGTAACGTTCTACAAGAAACAATTTTTAAAAACTACAATAATAAATAACCGAATTTCTTTAAAATTCAGATTAAATTCCTATAATCCTAAATTAAATAAATACAAATTTTTTATCTAAATTTACAAAAATATGATATTATTTGTACGTGACTAATTGCATTTAAAGACTTTTGTTTAGAAATAAAGCGCTTTATCTAAAACAATAGATGAAGCGTGCGTTAGTGTAATAATCAAACTTTTTGTGTTGACAGAGTAGTACTTTTGTCAAATTAAATAATTACAGTAAGCGTCGTTTATCCGAAATTATTTCAGCCGTCAAATTTAAATTTTCGCTAGTGCAGTGGCGCTGCAATCTTTGGATATATCTCGGGCTACTCCAATATTTTTGTTGTTGATGTGTGTGTTTTAGCTGGCAGCATTTTTCTTTTGTGTGGTGTTTTTCTGAGGAGTGTGTGTCCTGCTGAATCGAACGTTTTTGATACTAGATTAATTTCTAAAGTGTAATTTTTTTTCTTTTTATATTTTTCAATGTATTTATTTTGTTTGAAAAAAATAAAGAAATAATTTTTAACGATACAATAGCCGCGATTATTATTTTAAAAAGTTTACATTAGGCTTAACATCGACGAAAATTGGCACTTGTGCTGATTAAGGGGTACGGGTATTTGAGAGGTTTTCTTTCATAAAATTAAGTAAATCTAGACTAATTTCACTCGAATATTTCCAAAACACGTATAATTTGTTGAAATGATCGATATAAAATATGCTATGAACAAAAAATTGTCGGAATACTTACCGAGTGCACTCCGTTCAAAGACGCTATTGCTTAAGCTTGTTTTCGTCGCGGAACGGCACATGCTTTGTCCGCGTCCGCTTCCAATGTGTCACGTGACATGTGCCAGTACTATTCGGTCACGTAATTACTCACTCATCTCGGCCACGCTTCGCATCTCTGACGTGTTTCCTGATAACTTAATCTTCTCGCGGGAGAATTAGCTGAAGTTTGGGGACATCACGTGATTTNTTTTTAAGGCTATTATCGCAACTATTGTAAAAATGTTTCAATTCTGTATGAAAAAAGCACAGATTAGGTTAGTTAAATTTATAAGTCCACCCCTTGGCTTTTAGACAAAACGAATATCTTATCTCTAGAGCCGGCTAAGTATTTTATTGCTTTGTTTACTCCTTTCCTGACTAATTGCATGAGTGAAAGAAAGAAAGTACTAAGCTTCTCATGAGAGATTTATTAATTATTTAATTAACAATGCCTTGCTGTCCTTATTTTTAATTTTATTTCTGTCTACTCGGACATAGCTTATTATTAGGACATTATACTAGTGATTTGATACAATTATATGAAATAATAATTGATACAAAATTGACAGTCAGATCAGAAAAACAAGACTTTTAGGAATAATAAGCTATGTCCGAGTAGAGTGTTAGAAATAAAATTTTCATATGTGAGTTTATAAGGAGATCGAAAAAGAAATGGATAAACACTCAAACTTTGATTTAAGTACTGTATTTTATATTTGTTTCATTTAGAAAAGAACAAAGGAAAGTCCCATATCAGAATGGCAGGTTCTTTCATAGAGAAGAAAACATTTTAGTAGTTGGGACAATTGCACTAATGATTATTGTACCCGTAAGCGTCATTTAAATTTGGCTCACATTGTAATAGAGGTAATCCGAAAATGACTTCGTGAAATCATCTTATTTAAGAATTCTTCCGTGAATTTGTAAACTGTGATAGGGGTTTCCATACCGGATCTCATCTTTCATCTAAATACGTTCTCTTGATTAATTTACAGTGGAAATTTATAGGTCTAGAAATTGTTCAATTCACAGTCTTAAAAAAATGATGGGCAAGCACAAAAAAAGTATGAGAAGCGCTGGTTTAACACCTGTTGCATTTATTTTGTAATCAAACATTATATTTCCAAACATAAGTCTTTTTGTAGTATTTGTCGAAAGGTTTTTTCCATAAAATTAATCGATTCTAGTATAATTTGACTCGAATATTTCCAAAACATANAAATAATAATAAACTCAGATATTTTATGCAATTAATTCTTTCTATCTTCGAAAAAAAGATAGAAAGAATTAATTGCATAAAATATCTGAATTTTGATAAATGATAAACGCAAATACGATAGTCATATCGAAAATTTAAGAAAAACTGTCGCTAAGTTTAATGGCATAAACACAAAAATATAGAATTTCCTAAACATAAATACGATAAAACAACTACATCACATCTGTACAGAACCGAAAATTCTATACGGTATAACTATATAGGGAAGTACATCGGATTATATCGTTAACCGTTTGCAAACACAACAAAAT